ATGAATTCGTCTTGTAAAGAAGATTGAATCAAGCCATCAATTGCCTGACGTCCTGACATTGTCAAAGTACAATTGTCACCTTCGCAATAGTGATTGTTGACAATGCTCGTGTACTATAAATTTGCAATATGCGACAGTAGTATGAATATATATGTATAATGTCTGATTTCTGATCATAGAATAGCGAACGATAACTGTAAATTTAATATTAAACAGTCGCAGTATCATTGTGTTACATGATTGAGCAATCATCGTTATTAATGACGTTCTATCGAATTACGAGATATTTCGATTGCTAATTATTATTAATTATCGTGAACGATTAATCAATACCTTAAACCGCTAAACTAAGAGAGAGTAGCGCTCGTCTACATATGTCAGTATGGTGTCATCATGACGAGCCATATTCTAATACAATTATGATTCGTATGATTGTTAATCATGCAAACAAGAACGTTCATACTCATGTTTAACCGTCATTAAAATATGTCTCTTTGTTGTCAAGGGAGATCAAATCTTTAATGCGCGCGGTCTTATTAGATCTATTTAATTCATTTCCTCTTCACTTGTATCATTTACAACGTTTACATTAGACAATTAAAATCCTATTGTTCAAAAATATGTAGAACAAACGTCTGCCGTAAGATCGGTAAGATTTCTGGGGATATAGAAACCTTTTTACCTTAATTAAAAGTTTAAAATTCTAATTCGTCTCATTTCCTGCATCATCAATTTACTGTTACACAAAAAAGTCACTGCCCCCAATTTTTCAAATCCCGTGCATTTAAACTCATTCAAATGCATCAGTCTAAAGACGACGACGAAACATTTGAGATTCATCCAATTGAACCCGAGGGGCAGTTTCGGGTAATGTTTTAAATCAGTTTATCTTAATGCCGCAAGACGTTTGAACTCTCGTTAATTGTCAAATTTGGGAATCCATTGTCTACATTAGCCGACAAGAATCGGTGACCTTGATTTTTCTGTTGGTTCATGGGCTTCAAGGATTAGCATTCTGTACGACGAACTTCATTTACAAGCCACAGAATGGAATGGAGGATCGTATTCATTGAACAGTTTTGTATGGGCTCATAATACTGATCAATCCGATTCGAGGTTGGGAGACGATGATGGCAAAGACGCACGGTTCATTTTTTGCGGTGCGTAGAGATCAAGGATGTGTGTCGATTAAAACCAGTTTGTCACGAGTTTGTTTTTTTAACGAGATCTTGGGACACAGGTGGTGTTATACGACAAGATAAGGTGGAAGGTAATTATCCAGTTATCGCTGCACTATCCTGTAATACTGAGCGCATGGGGCATCCGAGGGCGTGGAAGTCTATACGGCGAATTGCTCGTTGTCGTGATTCAGAAACTATGGAACTTCCTTGCGTAAGTATCTAATGTATAGATATGTAGATGATTCACTATTTAATACGCGTTTTTCTTCTGAATATAAGGAAATTCGTAGAGCCTGCCATGTTCAATCTATTAACGAGGAACCTATCCAGCAACTAAGGTAGATAAGTTATTGTATTTTTTAGATAAGGATATCAGCTTTTGCGATAATCAACTCTTTTTTTTTCTCTCTTGAAATGTGTAGAATTATAAGAAACGCGTCCAGCAGCCATATTATAACAAACGGTATTCGGAATATTTGCTGGTGGCATCTGTATACAGAACGAAGAGTTGCTTGCAAGTAGAGTATACAAGTTTATCTAGCAAGTCTTTTGCATGCAAATCCTATTTACCATGTGCTTGTTATGATAGACTTGATCTTGGCAGTAATGCCGAGGTGGGGCAGGGTCTGGCAACCGCCGGTGGAACGAGCGTCATCAATGGAGGTTTGTTGATACAAGATTGCATACTTTATTTATGTTAATGAATCAAAGCTTTTGACTTTGGATGCCCTTTACATTTATCAATGTAGATGCAAATGGTTATGTAAATATATGGGATGTCGGAGCAATACAAACATATTTGAATACGAAAACCGGTATAACGAAAAGGGTTTTTATACATATCAAACGTTCTTTCTTTCCAACTTTCGGTACTTAATGAAATTGAGCACTTACCGATACGCGTTTACCATTTCCTGCAGGCAGCCTACTACCCGCGCACAAGATGTCTGTGACAAAACCAGGCGAAAAGATACTGTCGGTGGCAGCACAATATGATAACAGTGCCCTCAACGTCTATTGCACAACCGATGCTGGCCGATTAATAGCATGTGATCCCAGAAAGTCTGGAAGCCCTGCCAGCACGGTAATATTTATCGTTTTCTTATTGGTAATACGTCGCATGCTACGTACGCATCTTGCTCATTCTATAATGTTTAAATCAGATTGATTCTGCGCACAACTCTGCAATCACTACAAGTGCTTATCACCCTACGAATGCACAACTGCTATTGTCAGGATCAAGCGATGGTACTGTCAAATGGTGGGACACTCGGAAAATGGTTAGCTTATACAACAAGTCACCGGTAGGTTTACGGTCCGGTCATATTGCTTCTCGCGATCTGGTGTGTCATAACGCAATCCTTTGAATCTCTTTTTCATAGATCCCGATGGGAACACTGAAGGTTCATACAGACCGTGTGAACAAAGTTGAATGGTCGCCGCACCATCCTTACGTTTTCGCCAGTTGTTCAGACGATAAAAGCGTTGTTATCTGTAATTGTGAGGTGTTTATACTCTTTGAACTTTTGTTTCTTATTTCAACCCGTCTGCTGCAAATATTAATGCCCGCTTGTATCACTTTATAGCGTGTTGTTCACGATTTAAATAACGACTATACATTCCGACACGTTGGGCACAAGTACTGTATTGTGTTATTTAGATGTAATACGTGGTAGCATGATTGGACTTTTTATTCACTTTTGTCTAATATAGGGAGAAGGTGACAGATATCTCCTGGCATCCTGCCAAGCATCATCAGTACACTATTGGATCAGTATCACCCGGTTCCGCAGAAAACCCCGGGATGATTCAAGGTGATTCCAATTTTATTTTATAAACAATCCGTAACTGTTTTGTAGGAAATGCATTAAAGCTCATCAATTTCTCGTGTTATGTAGTATGGCGTATAAATTCATTAGTAGCCAAGTAAGTGTGAAGATGTCTTCTGAACGTGACGTTATATAAGCCATTAATTTTAATACCTTTGAATCCAGAGGGCTGCGAGAGGGAAAGCCAAAACAGTCTAGACCGTTTTTAATAGACATGGAGATCGATTGACGAAATTTTAACCGAATGTTAGTCAAATCAATTATAAGGAAAACGCAAAGTTCGAATACGTATTGGACAATAGGAAATCCATGGTGTGCACGGCTTAATTTGAGATATTCTTAATCGGCCCCGATCATTTCACGGTATGGTATAATATACCTTGAAACTTAATTTAGAAGCCATTACCGATGGTATACATATTGGAGCATTTAGTCAAATGACAGATTGGTAGGACAAATATATATGAAGTAATAAACATACGATCTTATCATGATCTAATGGAAAGCATCAATTGCTATTCATACGCCGGTGATACCTTTCCAGTTTTGGTGTAGTTTCGATTATTGGTTTCAATTGCCACAAAAGCATTAAAACAGTTCGCCTTGCTTCAGAAAAGGTCGCATCTACGAATAGGAGTTGTGTTGTTATCACGCTTAGGCGGAATGCGGATGGTATAATGGTTTGAATCTAGACAGACAACGCGAAGTTACTCCAACTTCTAACAGGACAGCATTCCGCTTCCCTTAATCTGATTACTGAATAAAAACTCGTTTTCTGCGTTTCAATTACTGTTTGTAATGTGTGCGGGCAACCCAAATAATAATTTATTCCACGTATTAATTTTTATCATGTATCGATTAATGGCAACAACTTCACGTCCAATCTCTTGCAATATTCATTCTCATCAAAAATAATATACAGATTACGTTTAAAAAAAAATTGTTCATTATGAATACAGCCGTTTACATACATCATTCCATGTTCAGCAATGCAAACGTTAAGACTCTCTCTAAAGTAATATTCAATGCCCTCTCCTACATCCACCGTACATATCCCAAAAGATAGAAAATGCAAACGTGACGAAGGCCAATGTATTAAAAAATATGCTCGTGTTATAGAAATTACACCTACAGCCGTGATGACGAGAAAGATAATTGTTAGAAAAAGATTATGAAAACTCAAAGCACGTAAATACTGTCCCTTCATCATTCGCTAATACCGCCACCTCACATACTTTTCAATCACACATGACTTACCATCCATTGTGGCCACCAGGCGGACACTTGAATTTCACGATTAAAAAGTAGCCAAGGATTCCCCATGCAAAAGCAAGCACAAAATCAATCAACAGCATTATCCATCTCCGCAGTTTTCGATTACGGCCAAATCGACGCGAGAAGTATTTGCATACGTAGAATAGACCGACCAAACAAGAGATTACTGATACGATGTACAAACCGACTACTCCAGGTCGGAGATCAGGTGGTGTTGATACGTGAGACGCCTGCACAAAAAAAAGAAAAAAGATCAGTTACCTCAAAGTCTGATATAAGGATTATTATCAACTACCGGTTAAGTACATACACTCGAAGCTGCAGCAATAAAGGCCAATGCACCAATACTAGCCAAAAGCTGAATCAATCTGAACGCAAGTCTCCTCCGACTTGGCTTTCTTAGTTTCGATTCCATCACTACATCTGAAGCATTATTCTTTTTGGCTTCCGGATCGGTGTCATCATTATCGTCATCGTCGTCGTCGTCGTCGTCGCCATTGTCCTCGTTGTTGTTGTTGTTGTTGTTGTCGTCGTTGTCATTACTATGGTTGTAATTATTGTGATTATTATGATTACCGGTATTGTGACTATTATTATTAGTATGCTCATCATCATAGTTATCGCTGTATCTTGCCGGATCATAGTGGTGTGCATGTGGAGGGTAAGTGACAGTAGAAGTGTCGTATCCATCCGATGGTTGACTATACGTGTACGGGTGCGAATATGAAGATGTGTTAACATCATAGGAGGAATATTGCGGTGGAGGCACATTGTCGTCGTAATTACTATCAGCGTGCGGTGGAGGGTAATGATATGTAGCAACGGGTGCCGACGGGTAACCCATAATTGGGTCAATCGGGAATGGGTTTGGGCGGTAGACGCTGTCTGGACGATGGGAATCTGCCGGGTTAGGTGCGGCATGTTTGGGAGAAACGTCTTTCTTCAGTAATTGAGTCATGCTGAACGGTAGGTATATGGGGAAGAAAACAAAAAGTTACAAATGGGAAACTATAACAAGGGCGGCGGCGCAATAAAAGAAAGCGGGCTGGAAAGCATTTTCCTCATAGAAGGTACTAGTGCATAAAAATGGCTGATTGTCTAACCATCATAGGGAAAGACCCCTAATACTAACAAGAGGAGGGAAAACTAATGTTGGTATTTGGAAACAATCTCCCGGGACAAAATTCCGTAATTCCCTTTTCGTGAGACTTATAATGTGTACTGTTTTTGTTGATGCATAAGTTTCAGGGGAGAATTTTGAAATTCGAGCACACAAAAGAGGGGTCGTCCTATTCAACTCACATGACAGGCAAGCATTACTTTATTAATAGTTCAAAATCTAAGAACGTCGTTTTGTTCTGATAAATACTAACCAAGTTGTCTTTAGAAAATTGACATGTGGTTTAAGATGTAACAGTTCAAAGTTTAGTTAATCTACAGTGGGTGACCAAAAGTCTCCGACCACCCCTTAAAATTTTCGTTGATCATGCATAACTCCGTAAAGAAACATCA